TATCAATAAATCCCTTGAGATGCTTGTAGGCATTTTGGTGTGGAGCTCCGGTGAAGAAACCCCTCTGTTCCAAGAGTGTAAGCATGACATTTGTTATTTGGAAGTTGCCCGCCCTAATCTGGGGCAGGACTATTGCACTTGCGTATCCTTCATTGGGTAACACCCGGTGTGCTGCCCTTGTTGGAGGTGGGGGAAGGCTTGGAATGTTATCATGAGGCGGTCGGCCTCTCCTTTGTGCTTGTGGTTCGGGTTGAATCTCATCCACATTATTATCATCTACCTCCTCCCCCAATGGCAAATTTCCAGGAGAATCATTGTTAAGAGCCATTTTGTACCTAAAAGCAATTCACAAACAAACTAGAAAGGAAGGAAAGAAAAACAAAACACACCAATACTCGGAGATATAACTAAAACCGTTTAACTCCCCGGCAACGGCGCCAAAAATTGATCGGTTCCAAACCTTCACTACTATAGAGTAGCAAGGATGGTCGATGCAGTTTTACCCAACAAAGGTTGGGATCGAATCCACAGGGAGTTAATTAGTTTGGAGTTAGGTTTATATCCGAGTAGAGATGCGGGTTTTACTCTTAATTGCACTTCCGCAAATGGTTGGTTATTTTCTACTTCTAATTCTATTCTATAACATGCAGTATTTGAAACTAAGTACAATATTTTTGTTGGTTGTTTTCAATGATTTAACGGGACTAGGGTAGTGACTTCCGCCTAGCTGGATATCTAACGGGTAGCAAGAATCTAGGGCAATCATGTGATTAACTGGGGTCGCAATATAGCTATCACACTCGGGTACTCACTCTATAACTCTCGGTACTTTAAGTGATTTGCCCAATTTGGCTTTCTCAAGTCCAAATGGGTATTCATGCAATTCAAGTGATTTAGCTCAAGTCGGGTATTACTATCTCTAGGTTTAACCCTTTAATTGGGGCTATCAATTTCTTGAGTTCACCCCAATTCCTTGTTAGCCTAATTTTCCTAGACTTAGTCTCACTTTCTCAAGTAGAGATGAAGTCATAAAGGCATGAACGAGTGTTTGCAACCACCAATTCCTTGGTTATAGCAAGAACTAGGCTAAATACTACTAACCCATACACATTCAAGCCCTAAAATTCAAGACCCATTAAATACCCACACTAGGGTTGGGTCACAACCCTACCTATGGGTTTAGCTACTCATGAAAATAGCAGAAATAAAAGATGAAAAGAAGATAAAATCCATAATGCTAAATTTAAAGATGAAAATCTAAAGTTATAAGGTAAATCTTGTACAAAATTTCCCAAATAGGAAAAACTAGCCGTCTCACGTACTCAGCAGAACATAGCATATTCTAAAAATGTGAAAAAGATCTATTTATAATAGGCTGAAATTCCTGGACAAAAATGCCCCTGCGGAGGTTTCGCGGCCTCGTAATTCTGATCGCGGTCCGTATTTCTTTACATCTGAGACTGGGCGGGAACTTGTTTTGCGGAGCGCGTAATTTTCACCGCGTCTGCGTGAGAGCCTTCCGCGGCCGCGTAATTTTGATACGGTACGCGCTTAACATTTTTGCCTTTTTAGTGAGCTCTCTGAACTTTAGCACATGCGGTCAGCGAAATTCCAATCGCGGCCGCGGTGGTATTTTCATGGCCTCCAACTTTTGGCGCGGTCCGCATCCATGTTTATGCCCAAAAATGACCTCTCTGATTCAGCCTTTCGCGATCCGCGAATTCATGACCGCGTCCGCAGTGACACTTTCGCGGTCGCACTTTTCTGTCGCGGTCCGCGTTCTACAGTCTTGGCCCAGTCTTCGTCCTTGTTCATGTTTTGACTCCTTCATGAGTTGATCATGGCCACTTTGGCTCATTGTGAACAATCCCTGCAAGCAAGCATATTATGTTAGTGTTCGGGAATACCTTTATGCATTTTAAGCCCAGAACGCAAGTAAAAAGAGAACAAATAATGGTTGAAATCCCCACTTATCACCTATCAACCCACCTCCTAGCTAAAGGGAGAAACGGTGGAGGTGGTGCATCCGGAGCAATGGGTGGTAGAGGTGGCTGGAACTACAGGAACTGCTCCCAGGCCCAAACCTAATACACATTGTGGACGTAAAATTTAAGGTATATTTTTACTATGTCTGTTATAATCATGAAAATAATTGACTATGTTTTCACCTGTAGCAGCGGCAACGTCTCTCTAGGTGCCCATGAACACCCGACACATCTGCCTATACAAGTAACCTACAACAACCGCACCCCAGCTGTAACTACGTAAATCATCTAGCTACTCTAGATGATGAAGAAATCTCAATCGGACTAAATTTCCTGAAGTGTTCGGGAACAATACCCCACCAATCATAAAAATCATCAATAATCTCGTGTACCGGTCGATAAGAAGATCCGGTGTATCATCCGTAATGTCCGCATCCATCGCCTCAGATGCTGTCGGACGGGCGTCAACTGCAAACGACTGGACCCACTCAATGCAGCCTCCTCCGCTGGCTGGAAATCGGTGAGCCACTGTAACATCTGCGGGTACTGCAATCCCGTATATTCTCTAAGAGCATGCGGGTAAGCGACAGGTAGTCCATCAACCAGCAGCCCAAAAGTACCTCTATGTCTTGGAGCGTGATGGTAACCTCGCTGATGGGTAAATGAACCGTGTGCGTCTCTGGTCGTTACCGCTCTATCATAGTCGTGATCAACGACCAGTCCAACTGCAATTGGCCAATCTCTATGATCTTGTAGAAACCCGTATCCTAAAGGCGTCTAACTATACAGGGATGGAGTGGGTGGGCCCTAATAAACTCTCACAAATCGTCTATCCGTCTAACAACAGTAGCTCTAGCGATGCAGGTCCGGGATGCACAGGCGGAACCTCCGTGACGACTACTGTAAATTGAACAATACTAATTAAAGTATTTTTCTTTTTAATTGCTTAACATCTTTAAATATATTGCAATATATTTAATATTAAAATTTATTTGATATTTTTACTATATTGTTAATTAGGTTAATACAATTTCTATATTATAATTTTATATTTTATATGTTGGTTTATCATTTTATATGTTAGTTTATTATTTTATATGATACTTTATTATTTTATATGTTAGTTTACTATTTTATATTTTTGTTTATTATTTAATATGTTAGTTTCTTATTTTATATGTTACTTTATTATTTTATATGTTTGTTTCTTATTTTATATGTTAGTTTTTTATTTTATATGTTTGTTTCTTACTCACCTATTTTTGACTATAATGAAATTAAATAATTAATTTTCATAATTATACAAGATTCAATTATTAAATATTCATATAACAATATTTAGTTTGACAAATATTGTTGCTTTCTAATGTTATTTTCTTATGTTTGTTGACTAGAGAGAGTTTGTGTTTGAACTATCAGCTTTTTTCAGATATTTTTGGGTTTAACAGATAACTAAATGATTAATTTCAATAACTACAAAGATACTACGCTAAAAGGCACTATATTTTACTATGCTAAAATGGCATTACATTAAAATTACGGGCACAACATAATACTACAGGGAACTATTTTATTAATCTTTTAGCACATAAATAATCTATCCGGAGAAAAACAAAAAATTAATTTAATCACAAAACAATCACGGAAATACATATACCACGGTAACAAATAACTAATTAACATTTTTTATAACAACTAATAACAATTTCTCTATTTTACTAATTTTTTTTTATCACACTAATAATATAATCTTGATAAAAAATAACAAATTAATTAAATTAAGTTGGAATACCTCGATTTTAATTTTTTGGAAAGTTGGGTGATTTGGAGCTAAAACGAGAAACTCACTACGAGATAATGCCTTAGATACGATGTGGGGCCGAGAATCTACACTTTTTGTGGGATCGGTGGGCTCCAATCGAGTTTTTTTTTGGCTAAAATGGAGGGGGGCGCTGGTTTTCGTCTTCTTTTAATGGGGAAGGCTATTGTTCGCGTCTGGTGGGGAAGGAGAAGGGCCATTTATTTATATAGGTATAGCATACATATATACCACACTATAGTATAACGCGGTATATATGGGTGCTATACCTTCCCGCCATTTTATGTTCAAATAAATCGCGGTTATTCACCGTGCTATACTTAACGGACAAACGTGCCACTAAAGTATAGCGCGGCGCTATACATATTATGGTGCTCAATCTTCTTTTTCCACACATTATGGTTGCTTGAGTCCAAAAGAACCACATTTTGGTTCATATCTCCGAAACTAGGTGTATCACCTACTTAATTCATTAGTTAATTATGTCCAACAAGAATAGAAGTCTGATGGCAGAATTGCTTCAGGAGAGTTGTTGAGTCTACACCCACTTCACAGATATTAAATGGATGAGTACTGTTTCCGTCTTATCAGATTCCCTTTACTCAATTGCACTAGTACATGATTCCCAGCCACAATCCGAATATAATATATCAGTATATGTTAATTGCACCTTCTCTTTTCTTGAGTGCGATGGTATGCCGCTCGAGAAGGAATTGGTCCTGTAGAACAAATTCCTCAACGGAAAGTGACACCCAAAAATGAATAAAACATAGGAGATTGTGGGAAGCAAAAAATCAGTCATTAATAACTTTGTGACACCAATTAATAGTTAAAGAAATAACCACATTTACAAATTGCTAAACGGAATACTGAAAGAATGAGATGAGGAGAAGATTCTCAATTGAGTCCAACAATTAGCTCAGACCAATTATTGCATTTCAGAATTGTTCCTTTATAGGACCGCAACATTAGTTGACAAAAATCTGAACTCAAGCTGTAAGTAGAAGAGACCAATGACCTTTGACTGCAACATTTAGCTCTCGAAATCTGGCTCAGACATTCTAACTCATGCAAAACCTTCAAATACCTCCAAATAACTAATTTGATCTTTGTCCTCAGCCTACAACAGGTGGTTTTGACTTTTGACAGTTTAAAGCATTCATTAGTAGTCATATGCATTTTGGATGTTAGACACGTTTTGAGTAAGAAAAGTAGCCGATGAAGTTCGAAATAATTCAAGATTTTACAATAGTTCACCATCATTCAACTCAAACATAAAAGGAATTGGGTAAAAATAAAAAAATAAAAAGAAGAAACAGAAGACAAGACAGTCAGCACCATTTGTCATCTAGCTGCCAATTTCACTTGAGAAATAGTCAAACTTTGCAGTTAAACTTAAACCAACAGCTGCTTAGTTGCTTCCATTCTTTTTAGCAAGCCTGCAATCTCAGATTGCATTCTCATTTTCATCTTGTAGTAATCACATTGTGAATTCTCCAATACTTTAAGCTCTTCCAATTTTTTCCTCCTCCTTTCCTCGGTCTCCTGCAAGCAGAGTTTATCAAGTTTTTCTGAATACTCTTCCTCCAGTTTCTCCGTTTTCATTCTAGCCACCCGTCTAAAACCCTCTGCCTCTCGGCGAGCATCATCTGCTCGATTCTGAAACATCCTTGCTTCTGCTTCTTTGATCCGCACAATGCTTTCCAAGCTATCAAGATCATCTTTCTTTAGTCGCTTCACAGACCATTCGTCTTCAACCATTTTAACATCTTTCTGCTGACGCTCATCAAACATCATAATATCTTTTCTTCCACTTGAAGAGCTTATGTTGTAGAAGGAAGATTTGGGAGCAAGGGAGGTAGATGCAGGAAGAGCAACAGCGTCTTTTTTTGGACCAACTTGACTACTAAAGTCTTTATCAGGATAGTTGGATGGAGGAAACTCTGACAGTCCATCTGCGTCTGTTAATCAAAGAACAAAGTTAATTGAAATTAGATAGGCTTCACGCAAACAGATAAGGCAATCATCAGCTCATGCTCAATAATCACATAATTGATAGGTATATCACTTGACAATCAGATCTCAACTGAAACACGAAGCCTGCTTACGAGTACATAATTTCCCATGTTTCTTCTTATTTTAAAAAAAAAAAGATTCCCCGCAGTAAATAAATTTCTGAATAATTTCACCAACCCAACAACACTAAACAGTTAACGACAGAGTTATAAGGGCAGCTCTAAACACTTCAGCCACTTAATTCCCAAAGTATACGATGTTGTTATCTTGCTAACAACAAAAACTGTCATTAACGTTCAAAAATAAAGATAAATCACTCAGAGCCCTTTAGGCTTTTGTTGCTCAGTCCCTGAAACATGCAATACGGAAATCAATAACTGATACACTTGAAGCAGTGATTTTAAATCATTGATTATCATCTTTATCTTCAAAATTCATTTCTCCATCAGGCATAAGGAACATCTATCTTCTGTTTTTGCAAAGAAAAATGTGTATTGTTTGCCATTGGAAGTCCAAATAATTTGCATCTTCAGTCGGGTTCAATTTTTTCAGTGTAATATCCAGATAAGCAGACATGAGATAGGAACAACAAAGGAAGGTTTCTAAGCACATTGATTATAGCCTTTATTCCCTGTATTCCTTATAGTGGTCTCTGCAGATGTAAAATTCTGTTCCTTTACTCGAGCGAAATCCATCTTCAAAACTCAACCTGATGCACAGTATTGATTTCACTATAAACGTCAGCAATATTCTCTTTTTATCGGTAAACTAAAATTCCTATTTTATTTTTATCGTATCCCAAAGAAGCACAGCTCAAAGTCATAGCTAAGATCATATTAAACAAGGATTACTTATGTCCTGTCAGGGACAACCAATAAAATTAAACGAGGTCTTTAATATAAATAACCAGTCCTTGAGAGGCTTAAGCGTTCTTTGCAAATATACATTCTAAGTTACAAAAGTAGTTCCATAATAAAAGAAACAAAGAAAAACCAAAAGCAAGAAAGAGAGAATAGTGAATTAACCTAGAAATTTGCTCAGATTACCAGTAGAAAGAACTAACCTCGAAGCTAACAGCTGAAATGAGAAAAATAAAGAAATAATGTGGTTTGGTAGGTATACTTACAATTAAAGAACTGAAAGATGAAATTGCAGACATCCGGACGAGATATCATCTTTTTCTCTAGCTTACTACGCAATTCAGCAGCCTTAACATGCAACTCCTTGCCTTTAAAATCTTCACTCCCTTGGAAGATCTTCTGAACACAGTCAAGCTCTTTCATCAATGTTTCTTCACCCCAATCTTTTGCACAAGACGTGAAGACATCTTTAACAAATCCAAACATTTCAGATGCATGACCACATCCAAGACAGTAAAATTGCATTTCAGTTGTCCCGGCAGGCCCTTTGAAGCTTGGACCTGGCTTTATAAGATTCCTCTGAATACCACAAACAGCATGACACCAGTGTGAACACGCATCACACCCAACCCAACTGCAAGTATTATTGGCACAATCGAAGTTCAAGCAAACTGGACACATGCATTCACTGCAGAATCCTTTCTTTGTTGAACAAATCTTGCATTCACAATCCTCAACAGGCAATACCCTCATACAGTTTATATTTCGACACCTTTCAAGTAAGAAAATTTCCACTAATTCAGTTGTTGATAGGGACTTTTTGCTAGATAAGAAGCTCCCGAGACCCATTTTTATTGCAACAAAAAGCTCTAGTTGAGTCTTGTGACACTTTGCGAGAGTCTCGTTGGTAAGATCACATCTCCTATTTAACCTGTTCTGAAGGCCAACTAACTCGTCTTTTCTCTCAGGTGTTGCAATTAGGCTCCTCAAGTATTCCTTTGTTGATTCAACTGTTTCATCAGGAAGCTCTTGCACAATCTGAGCCATAAGCGGAATAGATTCAGAAACTATTTCTCTAAGGATTCTCTCAGGCCTAGAAATCTTACGAGCCAGTCCTCCATCCATACTCTCCAAACCTCTCAAACTTTCTGAACCTCTTCCCCTTGAATCGCCCGATTGACCATCAATTCTTGGTCTCGCGGGCAATTCGGATGGGAAAAACGAAATGTTATCCGAGCTTGTAGTCCTATAAACACTGTTATTACATGTCTCCTTATGTAAAACTTGGCTACCAAGAGCAAAACTTCCACCATAGTTATTTGCCAGTGCAACACCCCCATCTCCAATTGGCCTAAACCGACTATGAACTGAACCATTAGTTCCTTCTCCACAATTCCAGATGTGATCGCTTCCCCTTCGATGACTCCCCATGGAATGCTCATAATACTCCGTTGAATTATGCGTAAGGGAGCAACTGGGGTTGTGGGAAAAAGCGTGGGAATAGGAGCAAGACAATGAGGCAGCTGTGAAATCATTGGAATGAGTGGTTCTTGTATTGTTAAGTGATGGTTCTAATGACTGTACACTCATACTAGGCCTCAACCTAGAAGGAAGATCACCACCATTTGGGACCACCCTATTTGAGCCAGCCAAAGACAGTGAAACATCAGGCAAAGCCAAAGAAAGGTTAAGGGTTTGAATCTTTGGTTTCTTCTCTCTATTTTCTGCCTCAATTTCCTCATCCTCAGCAGCATCCCTTTTAGATGAATTCCCATTCCCTCTATTCTCATTATTCAATTGAAGAAAATCCCTCTCTACCCATCTGTTATTACATTCCTCATTCTGATCCTCACCTAATACCATCACTTCTTTCCCTTTATAACTGCTACCTACTTTCTCAAAAACATCTCTTTCTTGAAATCCCTTCTCACAAAGGTAACTAAGAGTCAATTCTTGATAGCTAGGAGGAGCATCACTAACCATTTTCATTTCTGATACTGATTTCCCAAGAAATTGAATACCCTTTTCCCCTAATGTTCCAAAACTTACAGTATTCTCCTCAGATTTACTCTTCTCTTTTACCTTGTTGTCAGACTCGGTTGAATTTTCCACCATTTTTAATGCAAAAATAAAAATGAAAAGAAAACTGAGAGCACGAGGATCAAAGAACTTACAGATAGATAGATAGATAGATAGATAGATAGGAGAATTTCCAGAAAACAAAAGAAGAGAGAAGCTGTTCAGAGAATCTTGGGGCTAACAGTATCTTCTGCTCTGCACGACATAGCTGTCTTCTCTTTCTCTTTCTCTTTCTCTTTCTCTTTCTCTTTCTACTTTCTCTTGAGAAAAAAATATTTAGACTCCACTTGCAACGGCTGTATATCTGTCTTTTACGTTTTAAATTACTTAAAGGCTCCCCAAGTTTTAGTTATTTGATCATCTGCCCAGTTTAGACTTTTTTTTTTTTAATATTTTTGTTATCTAGTGGAATAGTCAATTATGATGTGGTAACAAACAATATACACTTGAAGACAAAAACTAGAGTACTAATAAGAATAAATTCGCTATAACTCATTGTAAAATGGATCCATACAAGATTAGTTTATGTACGGGATAAAGAATAAATAAAATCAAATTAACAGCTATTAAATAGGTGAAATTTATTGATAGTGTAGTGTTAGCAAAGTGAATATGATATTTTAGGATATAACCTGTTATCGCTATGTATATTTTGTTGTTATAGATCACAATTGTATAGTTTGTGATGATAGTCTTTGTTGCATCGAAAAATATTGCATCTCCCAACTCATATAACAATTATTTTACTTACTCTTTCCCCTCGGAAAATGTTGCATATCCCAACTCATATAAGCAAATGTCATATATTCTCACAAATTTATTATAATTAAGCTTATATTCCATCAATTTTTTGGATGAATAGCTTCCTCTTAGCAGTAGTGGCATATTTCTAATTAAATCAAAATTCAGGGAGTATTCTTGCAAATCAATCACTACTCTTTTCCTGTCATTTCCTTTTCCTCATTAAATTATTAATTTCTTTTTTCCACTTAAATGGCTGCATTCTTGTTCTTTGAATTCTTAACGCGGTGCCAAGAGTCAAAGAGAGACACAACTCACAAGTGTTGAAATTTGTGGGCTCTAGATGCCTAATTACAGAACAAACCCTGATTAGGAGCTGAATTACAGCTTCACCCCTTTAAGTGTGGGTCCCGCGTTGCATGCAACTGGCAGATTCGACAATGTAGCTTTCATTGACTTTTTATTCATAGCACTTTCGTCGGAATAATGATAAGAGTAACGGACAACGTGCAATAAGCATGAAGAAAAAGTCCAACCAATAAATATGAGTTTGGTTGTCCTTTTTTTCCCCCATTTCTTCCAAAGACTTTTTAGATGCATTATATAACTTTGGTCAAAACTCAAAAACATCACTTGAATTTATTTGATCCCATTTTTCCCAAAGACTTTTTAGATGCATTATACAATTTTGGTCTAAAACATCATTTAAATTTATTTGATAAGAAGATTTTTCAATCAATTGTACTCTTTATATGGAGACCGTGGAGGGTGACGGCATTTTTTCTTAAGATAGTCTTTTGGCTTAAAATGCTTTTTTTAACTGAAAAACTATGTGATCGAGTGTGAAGTAAATGCGATCTATTTGTTTACGAGCTAGTAATGAAATGGTCTAATGAGCACACTCTGAGTCACATGAAGTGTTCAATAAGATGAAGTGCCAAACGAATTTTTTGTCAAAGTGTTTGACCGAAAGATGTCGAAACTTTTTTTATTAAATCAATTAATGAAGATGAAGAGGTAAATCTTAGTCAAACATAATAAACTCCAGATCTAGAAATGAATCAGAAAGTGATGAACAAGATAAAATAAGGGCGATCAATCTTATTGATGTTTTTCGTTTCTTCTTTCATGATACAGTGAGGATGATCAATTTACATGATATGGTGAGGATGATCAATTTGCATCTTTTCATCTAAGAAAGTTGTAGAAGAGTGGAAAGAGAGAAAAAGAGCCCCCCTCACTTTGGAGGATTCCTCCCATATATATAGTCCTGGAGTCCTTGCTATACTCTTTTGTCGATGCGTCTCCATACTACGACTGTTTTCGTCGTTACTTGAATGTTGCTTTTTGACTTAATATGCACTGTAGGCACTTGGATTGGAGCGAGTCGTGGCGTCTCTCGCTAACCGCCACTTAGGCGGGATCCCAGTTGGGTCGACCACAGTGGTCAGATTCTGACCAATACAGTTAGTCTCTCTGTCCGTCGGGGTCGTCTTTTGTCGGGCCCGGCGGGCGGATTACAATTTCGAACAATTAGGAGAAATCTGACTGTCGCGCCTTGTAGCTTTTGGACCAAGATAATGGCGCGGCGCTCCAACAATACCATTGGACCGTCGTGACCGTTTTGGAATCGAAGCGTTTGTTTAATTCGAAACGTCGTTTATGGTTACTGACATTATGACACACGTTTTCTGGGGATTGAACCGTTTCATGCTTTATCAGTGCTAATTGGTGACTCTTGGGTTTCCCGCTTGTGGCATTTATATCCCTATAAATATGGTAAAAACACTAATCCACTGGCATACTTTCTTGGTTTATCAGTAGAATTTTGAGAGCTTTCTTCTTCCCTGATATTTCAGATTTGCGATTCTCTTTTGTTGGTCAAAAATTGGCATCTTCACCTTCCCTCTTATTTCTTTTGTTCATTCATTCTATTCATTTGAAACAAATGGCTGATTTTTCTTCCCGCGTTGATGATCTTGCAACAGTTTCGGTGCCGGAAAATGATGTTCTTGTTCCCGGAGGAGGAGAAGTAGTAGAGGATGAGGAGGTTCCAACGGCGGCTGAAGTATTGCCTCGTCCTGGGAAGCCGTGGACTGATTTCAATAGCCCTGCCAGAGAGGAACCGAAACCTGTTTCCTCAATTATGAATGAGGCGACGATTGTGGAGCTGAAGGTTAGGTAGGGGATCGCGCACCACGTCGAGATGCTGCCGACGGTGGGAGATGATATCATACATCTCGACCGCCCAGGATATTGTGCATTTTACGCATATCCTTTTATCGTCGGATATACGCTTCCTCTTCCTTCCTTGGTAGTAGATTTTTGTCGTTTCTACGAAGTGTGTCCGGCTCAACTTTCGCCGTACCTATATAAATTGTTCCTTATGCTACTCAAGTTCGCGGAGCTTGCCGGTCGGGAGATCACTCTGAGACACATGCTCAATATTTTTGCCCCCCAACTCATTCGAGGCACGATGATTCACATGCGCCATCGAGGGACGAAGAGTCTGGTGGTGAAGATGGACGATATGGCCAACCCTCATTTCTACGAAAACTACTTTTATGTGCGGACCGAGCACCTTGTGGCGGATTCCGCAGGTTCCCAAGAGATGGAACTTCGCACGTAAGTTTTTATGTCTTTTGTCGGAATGATAGTCGATCGCTTTTCTTTGGGTAGTATTGAACTGTTTTTGCTTTTGCAGCCGCGAGACTACCCCCTGTACCTGTTGATGATATTCGCGAATGGGTGAGTGCCATTCTTCCTCATACGGCGGGAGTTCGCGAATGGTTGTCCTTCTATGAGAAATATGGACGTAAGCTCCTTACTGGTAAGTAGATGCAATTTCTATTTTCCATTTTGGCTTTGTTGCTTATACGACTTTTATCATTATTAGGGAGAGTGCAAAGGGCGAGGGCTCCTCCACTTGCATTTCGCCAGTCGACGTCTCTGCTCGGCTCGTACCAAGGTCTGATGTCCGACCTACGGCAAGGAATGCTCAAGTCGAATCTACGAACGTAGCTGTGTGCACAAAAACTGCTTCCCAATCTGGGGCTCCGACTACTACTGCCCGCTTGACGGGAGAATCTTCCCGTGCTGAGGACGGGAAAGGGCCGCCAAAGAGACGACTAGTGGAGTCCGAAACATCTTCTTCTAGCGTGGTGCGCTCAGAGGGAGACATTCCTTTGACGGAGTCTTCGATGGGAGGTGATGCTAACCCGTCTGCAGTGGTAGAGCCGGTGATCGTGACCAATTCGGTGGCGGAGGCCTCGACTGTTGCCGTTGATCAACAGACTGCTGCAACAGGGAGTTGGGGCCCCGAGACCGCTATCGCCACTTTAGGCGGGCCTTCGCCTTCCGGACCGAGTCGTGCTTCTTCCTCGGCCGCAGGAAGGGGAAAAAGCACCGTGGTTGATGACTACAAATCTGAGTCTGATCTTGATCCTGATGACGTCAGAATGTTTGAAGAGGGCCTTACCCGTACGGTGGTGCATGTGGGAGGCCCGTACCGTATACTTGAAATCCCGTCGGATATTAACCTCCTGGGGGATACAGAAGACCTTGTTCCGCAGTTTGACCTTTTATGTTCTGCCGCCGTGAGTGAGGCTCTCCGGGACGTCCGTGACATCAATTTGATGCATGAGGTAGCCGCTATGGGCCTGAGGGTAAGTTTCTCTTTCCCTTTATGTTCCTTTCATTTTTGTCGACCTTGGCCTTAATCAATTTTTTTTGTTTTTCAGACATACATGGTGGAGAATGAAAGCACTCGTAGGGCCGACACTTGGGCTAAAATTTTTCTGAAAATGTTCGAGAAGTATCGGCGTTACCGCAACAAATGTCGTGAGTTGCACGAGCGGCTGAGGACGAATGCCGGTAACCAATCCCTCAACGAGGAGCTAGAGAAGCGGGACCGGGAGCTAGTGCAGGCGATTCGTAGGAGCAGCGAGCTCGAGGAGCAACTTCGTGTAAAGGATGAAGAACTTGAAGTGGGAAAAGGGGTTTCCGCAGAGTGTGAGCATCTTCAGGCGAGGGTGCGGTCGATGCAAGCTGAGTTGGATCAGAACGCCATCAGGGTCGACACGATGAGTGCGGAATGGATGGGAAAGTTAGCCGAGCTGGAGAGAAAGGTTTCTAGGTTGGAGAATATGAGAGTGCTTGGGCATCGTCTTCAGCGAGGGCGGCGGCTTTAGAGGACACTATCCGCGTTCTTCAATCTGAACAGGAATCTGAGAGGGCGATGGCGACGCTTAGGGAGGCAAGGCTCAAAGAGCGTATTGGTGAAATTGACCGGGAAGCTTCGACTTTAGGGGACCGGGTCGCTGCTCTTGAGGTCGAGAAGGCACAATTGTTGGCCCAAATCGAATCTGCCTTCGTCGTTGTTCCCCGTCACCTATATGAGCTTTGGGTACATGCTGAAGCCTAGCGGGACATATATAAGAGTTTGTGGGTAGCGGGCAATGTTTCTGAGGCCGTATATGAAGGAGCGCGGGCAAAGGCGCGAGAGGCTCGTGTTAATTGTGGATATGATCCTGCGACGC